GTTTATTAATTTGTTTACTTGTCACATTTCTCTATTAGCATGTAATCTTGATCTACCTTTTTTATGGCAGATTTTCCAATGTCAAGAACAATGCCTGGGACACTAAGCAGAGTTGAATAATTGCAGACATTTATATGACAGGCCTAGGCCAGCACTACAGCGATAAAGGAGGAATAATATACAGGCCCAATGATGAAAACTAAACAAGAGGTTCTACTCTACATGAAAAATGTAAACGTGAATTAGAAACTCAAAGAGATCATGGGATTATTACAATATATATAAAAAATTCAAAATATCTTTAAAAATAATTTTTATAAATGAATATGAATGAATGTTAAAATTAAGATGTCAACATCTTGGTGCCGTATATTATACACTAGAATAAGAAATAATCATATTATGTGTCTATATAGTTTCCTTTCAATATGACTTCAGTAGATTCAAAATAGTTTAAGAATTCTTTTGCTTTATTTAACGATGTGTAAATCAATTTATTAAAAGCAAATTCAAAGAGCTAAAAAAAATGGACATTTAGTATTATAGTACATGATCAAGGTTAAGTCATGCCTTTAATTCCTGATCCAGTAAGTTAAAATTGGGACAGCAGATTTGGACATTAAAAATGTAATTAAATATTTTATTTTGACTTTGCCATGAGGCTTATTGACACATACTCTTAGTTGATATTAGCACTGCTGAAATCTGACAGTTATGCTTTCTTTCTATTAGGACCGCGCTAATGGATAATTGGTATTCTTTATCATACCTGTACTTCAGCACTCTTGGAACTTTGGTAACGTTATTCGTGGGAATACTTATCAGTTTATCAACAGGTAACTATCTAAACATTAGTATTGCTGTGTTTACCTCTACATTAGTGTTTTTTTTTTGCTGTATCTGTTTTATAGCTATTTCTGTTACTTTACTATAATCCTAACAATTAGTTGAATTATTTGTTCCATTTTACTCATGGGAAATTTTAGCGCTTGGACTTGAAAACAAAAGATCTATTTCTGTTTGAATGTTCGAGTGCTGTTTCCTAGCTGCGTGGACGTACAGCTGTAGGTCTGTGCGGCTACTGTGTAGCTGCTCCAAGCTGTAGCTGTCCTGGGTGTGAAATAAGGGCAATTGTAACTGCATAACTGACCTGCCTGTCTCACAGGTTGCTGTGAGTTAAAACAAAAATGCTTGCAAAAGTTGCATGTAGCTACTACAGTGGTAGGGAGTGTATACTTACCTTTACAACAGCCCTGTGCTGTGATCTTCCCGTTGTCCTGCACTGACTCTTTGTAAACTGTAAAGAAGTATACACGTGCAGGGAATAGTAATTATGATCTTTATATCTAAGCATAATGTGAAAGCTTTTTTTTTAAATGTCCATAAACTGTAAGAAATAATTGTAAAGGAAAATTAAATCGATACTACATATGGTACACACTGCTCTCTGGGATTGCAATAGAACTGTTTCCCTGAGACCTCCTTTGGTCCTCATTTCATGAATTCTTTTAGTCTCTCTCCTGTGTTGGATTCCCTGCTGCCTGTATCCCATTACTCCTAGGTCTTGTTTACTCCGTTAATTGGATGGAACACAACCTATAACACATTCTTGAGAAAGGGTGAGCAAGAGAGATTTTAGAAACATTTCATGTCTTAAAAAAAAATGTCTTTAGTTCTCCCTTGTGCTTGATTGATAATCTGAGTGGAGAATTTTAGGTTGAAAATAACTTTCTTGCTCCCGGAGGATGTCTTACGTTTCTTCTCCTTGCCGTGTTGCTTTTGGGAAGACCAGTGCCCCGCTGACTGCTGGCCCTTTGTGTGTGACCCATTTCACAATGACTGCCTTGCCCTAGGCCCTCAGGAGCATTCCCCTGTGAAGACCCATGTCCTTCAGTTCTACGGCACTTTCCTATTTCATTTATTTTGTAATTTCCTGCCATTCTCTGTTTCCTCTTTCTGGAAACTCCTGTTAGTCAAACGATTTAATCTTGGACAGTTTCTCTGATTTTCTTATCTTTTCTCTCCTGTTTTCCATCTTTGTGTCTTTTAGGTCTACTACAAGGAATATTTTTTCAATTACTTTTCCAATAATTCTCAAGGGAGCACTCTGATCCAGTTTTGAGAGTAGTCTGTAAGGGAAGGAGGGCAGGTAGAAGGCTATTGCAGTAGCCCAGGTGACCGATCATCACGGTGGCTCGGACCAGGGCAGTAGTGTGCAGTTGGGGAGAAGCGCTAGGCTCCCTAATTTCCTACGTTCCCTCACACATTTACATTCTGAGTAACCAAACTGGGGGACGCAGCTTCACTGTCCTCTTTTATCAAATGTGTTATAACTAGTCAGAAATCCTACGCTTTGTCTAAGTATGTCTTTGTTGGCTTTGTGCTATAAATCTACCAACACTGTGCCCCTTTAGACAATCTCACCATCTCTCATTGTTTTTTGGCACTGGGTAGCACTGTTTTTCAAACTTCTATGATACTTGTGTTTATAACTAATATGTTAGTAATTAGTGTGCTATTGATATTAACATACAATTAAAATTATTATATGCATTATAACTTACAATTATTAGAAATTTATAATAAAGTTTGTAGCGATTTGTTATCTTGCAAATGGCTGTTTAAACTATTCTTTCTTTACAAAAAGGACTGTGCTTTTTCTCATAAGTAAAATCACCAGCCCAGTAGGTTTATTTGCTTGCCTGTTTTGCTATGTTTTAGACAAATTTTAAACTTCTTTCATCAGCAACCCAGTTGCTCAGATCTGGAATACACCTAACCAATCTCCTTTTACTATCTGACCTTTGGTCATTTTTCAACTCATTTTTTTTTCCTTTAGAAAAACAGGGTGTTCGAGTACTCCCTTTGAGTACTCTCGTTTTTCCCCTTAAATGCTTTGATTCTGATAACCATATACAGCTATGTCTTTTCTTTTGCTTTAAAAAGTGAATATGAACAGGCATTTAGTGATGAAGAACATTTCCACTTCATTAATTTTATATGACTTATTCCCATTCCACAGTAGCAGTGAGCTCCTTACCAAAAACAAACAAACAAAAAAAACAAAAAAAATCTAGAAACAAAATCCTGATGTTCCTTGGGAAATATATTTTAAAAGCTACTGTACAATTCTAGGAATATGTAAGAATTTAGGCTAAACAGACTTGGTTGGTATTTCAGCTTCACCTAGCCATGTACTGTGCGCTTTGAGCGTGTCTCTTCGTTGGTAAAGTAGGGTAAATATTTTCCTAAGTAGGCTATGAGCTATGGGTGCAGGGGTTGTTTTATTCATCTCTGTCCCTCCAGCACCTGGTAAAATCTCTACTACATGGTAGGCAGTCAGCAGTGTTGAATGAATTAATTTAAAGTTGAATCCATCTCCAGGACATTAGCAGTTTCCATAATTAAAACTCTAGTATTTGTATGAAAGTGGTGATTCTTAAACTTTAGAACACATAAAGATCCTCAGAAATTTGATAAGAATTAGGATTCAGTGGCCTTGCCCACAGAGGTTCCAACTGGGTCAATCCAGGTTGGAGACCTGCAGTTTTGTTTTTGTTTTTGTTTTTGTTTCTGTTTTTTTATTGAAGACTTGCGTTTTAAGTACGTGCCCTCGGTGATTTGGATAGAGGTATTTGGAGAACCACTTATTGAGATACACAGTTTTCAAAGCATTCTCTTTGATCCACAAATAAAATACTAAACCAAAGAGTAATTTTTGTAAAGCAAAACTTTAGGGAAGAGAGTTTGGATCAAGTACCTATCTTTATAGTGATTTGCATTTAAATGATTTATTCAACAACTCACAATTTCCTGCATTTCTTCACACACATCTATATTCATAGACACCAAATTGAGGAAAGGCAGCTTCACTATCTGAAGCAGAGGCAGATGGTTTGATTTTTTATTGGTAGACCAGTTTTCCTACCAGTATTGGGCCAGACGACTCTTTCTCTAGTTGGGCACCAGATGAGGCAGTTGGCTTATTATATTCCATTTATATGGAGGCATCTCATTTATCTTTAAAGATTAGACTCATATTTATCACAGTGAGAGGCTTGCAGAGTCTGAGACTGACTGAGGGAAGGGAAATGGTGAGCTGACTCTCCAGCACTATTTAGTAGACTCTCTTGCTCTGTGTGTTCTGTAAGTACATAGAATGAAGTTAAACGCCTGTATGATGGACTATCACTGGGGAGATGCACATATCTTTTTAACAACGTAAATAATGTATGTTTTTCAGGAGGAAGAAAACAGAACGTAGACTGCAGATTCCTACTAACCAAAGAGGACTTTACATCCAATTTTGACATCTTTAAGAAAGTGAGCTGGCTTTCTTTTTCCTTAAATTAATAAGACTGTGCCTTTATCACCAGGATACAATACTAGTTAGTCCTCAGAATCTCTTTCAAACTCTGATGATAAGGAAGGTATTTGCCTTCCTTTTTTAAATGATCTGTTTCTGTGGTTTTTCTTTGCCTCAGTAGATTACAAAGCTGATTTAGAGAAAGAAAATCAGTAGTAACAATTATTTAGAGTTGAGTGAGTTAACAGTTTCTTTTTTCTAATCACCATGTTAACATTTTCTTTTAGAAGAAGCAAGTTTTAAACACTAAATCTCATCCAATAGAAGATGGCGGAAATGACAATCCTGCCTTCAACCATATTGAATTGAACTGCACAGATCAAAGTGCCAAGATCAGTGGGACTCGTTTGTGAAGCAGCTGTGAGACTAAGTGATCTTAAACAGTGTCCCAGTTTTCTGTGTTTTCTAAGATAATTGGATCAGGTTTAGGTTTTTCTGTTTGGTTTGGTTTGGTTTGGTTTGGTTTATCATGAGCGTTTCGGGGGAGATCTTTGGGGGGATAAATTTTTGTTAAAGCGAAGTCCTGACTTTACTTAATACACTCACTAGTTGATGCTACTCTGGAGGTAAGAGTTTCAACATCAGCATCTCCCTCTCTCTCTTTTATTTCAATGAAGCTTGTGAAAGTTATGAAAGTTGTGACTTCATGTGTACTTAAAAGGTAAATACACATACTTGGTGGTCAGAAGCATATTCTTAAATTTGGGCATTATTAAACATATTTCCATGCTTCCATATTTGGTGCTAACATATACATTTTGGAGTTCACCAAAATCATAATTAATATTGAAAAGGACATTTCTCCCTCCTACCACATACTCCATTCTTAGGGAGCAATGAAGTGACAGGTCTGTGTTGTCTAGATCTTTGCTTCTCATCAACCCTATCAGCCCACAGCACATAAAAACCTTGAAATGGATCCTGGCTCAGGACGCATCCTGTTTGGGACAGAATCTAGGCCCAGTGATCAAGGTCTTCTTGGTGCTATGCATGTATTCTTGTGCCTTTTTTGCTTGTTATCTAGAGTTCCTGGCCATTGGCTGCTTATTTTGCTTTTCTTAGACTCTGGTTCTTATCTGCATTCCTAGTTTCTGACCCATCGACTTTGGTTTTGTTGTTCATTTTACCTTTACTTGCCTTCCTAATTTCCTGTTCACTCTACTGCCTACATAATTATATTTGGGCTTGCATGAGTCTTGAGACACCCACTGTGAATCCTGTGATCCTACCCTGGATCCTGGTTCACATCTCAGCCTATAAACTCCCATGAGCCTTATACTGACTGAAGTGCTTTCAATGTAGGTACTTGTAGATTTGGTGACCCAAGACTATTTACATAATTTAGAATGGTTAAGCTCCATGGAATCAGTTGATTCCACTGAATGCTATTAAGCTAAATTTTTCAATGTCAGCTAACATGCAGTCAGTTAAATTTAAAGGTACATATGCCTAGAAATCTTGAATTCTAGTATTTCAGTTGGTTAAAGAGCTAAATTACAAAGGCAAATACTATTATTTTTCTTTAGTGTTCTGGAATTACTAAATATATGCTATGTTTTTTATGTTTTAAAATTTCAAGTAGCAATCTCAAAGTTTATTTTGTTTATTTTGCTAAATTTCTAGCTAAGACTCTGGTTACAGACTTTCATCAGTAACTTATATTTTTCTACAGTACACATATTAGATATTGGGTTTTTTTAGCTTTACACTGTTTTAAAATAACATGAAATATTTAGGTATATTGAATATTTTGTAATTAAATAATTTTTTGCTTATTTTCTAATATTTAGGTGAGCATGCTCTGTACATTTAGAGGTTGCTGATTGAAAACATTAAGAAATGAAAAAAAGTAGAAAATAGCATTTATCTAAAGCAGGGAGATTTATATGACATTTAAATTTAATGATATATTCACATATTTTGTATGTGTATAGTTGTTATTTTTAATCAATATATTTGTAAGCATACAGCAAACTTTGTAAATCTTTCCATAATTTTTTTAATGAGTAGGGAGATACAATCTTATTTGTTTTATGTGTGTGATTTGAACTATTATTTATTTAATAATTCTAAATGCACATGTGTGTAGAATGCTTCAATTTTAGAAATCAAGATCAGGTTATTTAAATAATTTTTTCTTTTATCTGACTGCCAAGGAATTATGCAACGTATTTTTAATGAAAGATACAGTAATTCCATTCTTGTCCACTTTCTTTTAACAAAGTATATCTTTGTGACATTAGAAATTATTGATATTTTACTTTTATAAATACATAAGATTAAGTGGGGAGGGTATAGCTCAGTGGTAGAGCACATGCATTAATATTCATAAGTTCCTGAGTTCAATCCCCAGTACCTCCATTAAGATAAATAAATAAATAAAAGTAACCTAATTACCCCCCAAAAAATTTAAAACAAAACAAAACATAAGATTACCAAATAGAATTCTTAAGAAATCAAAGTTATGTTATATTAATTATTAAAAATCATTTGTCTTAGCTAAATCTTTGGGTAAAATCAAACAGAGGTAAAATGTTAATATAATGTAAATTAAATAATCTAATGTTCTTAATTATTCTGAATCACAACAAGGCAAATGGGAAGGAAAAGCCACATAAGTTGCCTATCTTTTTTGTTACTAATGAGTTGTATGACCTTGAATTTATCCTTAATCTCCTCTAATGTTGGAACTTCACACTAAACACATACCTACCTCACAGAAATAATATGAGCATAAAAGATCAGATAGCACTTTATTAACTCAAATAGTGTTACTTAAAATTTCAATATGATTGAGAATCAAAATCTGAGACAAAGGTCATTTGCTAGTTTTAAGTAAAGGTGAACCATTAATAATTTGCAATGTAATGAAGTGGAGATAGTTCCTTTTAAAAATATGTACCATAGAAATATTTAAAAAATCAGAAATCAGCAGGATTATTCTAACAGAAAGAATGTAAACTTTAAAGAAAGCTATAGAACAATCATATACACTCCATAGGGAAAAAATTTTTATTTAGAATGTAAAACAGTATACATGTATATTCATCTGTTTAGTTGCTTATGTGGTATATTCTCTCTAGAACAGTAGTTCTCAACGGATAATTTTGCACCTCAGGGACATTTAGAAATATCTGGGTACATTCTTGGTTGTCACAGGTGGTAAGAAGGTGCTACTGGCAGCTGGTGGATAGAATTCAGAGATGCTGCTAAACGTCCCATGGTGCACAGGGAGCCCTCTTCTCCACAACAAAAAGTGATCCTGCCCTAGATATCAGTAGTGTTGACTTCAAGAAATTCTGCCCTAGGAGTTAGGTTTCAAATCTTGAAATCGCACACCTTCGTTGTGTTCCTTTAGGGCAATTGCCTTGACTCTTGTATCTGTTCTTATCTATAAGTGAGGATTAAACTATTGCTAGCATATGGAATGTTATGATGCAGAATAATGATCATATATTTTAAGGACTACAGAATTGTGAGTAATTATGAAGACAGCTCGTAAGAGTGTTTCATTTCTTAACATGATTTCCAACATTGACAAACATTAGGATGAAGGAAATATTCAACCTATGAATATGAAGGTTTTCGTAATTTTATTTCATTTTTTAAAACCCCAGAAAGTATCATTTATTGTTAACAACTGAATGTCTGTCCATGATGTAGATATGTGGGGCAAGGGTAGGGTTGAGATGGAGGAAGTAACTCTCTGTGTTGATTCTTATAGAAAAGTCTGAGTTCTTTCCAATAATGATTGTTGATATGGAGTAAACAAATTACATGAAAATTCACTGTACAATTTAGTCACTGTAAAATTCACTTTTACATTTGTGTGCCCATTATGAAAAAACTTGAGGGGATTGAGCATTATAATGTAAAATATGGTTGCATTTGGGATTTTTCTACTTGATTGAACTCTGCAGGTGTCTTTATAATTGTCTGTTCTTGGGGGATAAATGTCAAATTGAATATAATTAATTTTATCAGCTTTTAAATAAAATTATTTCTACTCTGTTTACCACATAGAGGACTCTTCCTATCTACTGTTATAAAAGTGTAAGAAAATAAACATGTAGAACTTTTGTCACTGAAGTCATTAACACTGGATCTGAAAATAAACATAACATATTTAATACTGGAAAGTTCTTAGCCATTATCTCTTCGACTATTCCCCTTCTCCCATTTTCTCTATTCCATAACTATTTAACTCCTATTAGATGAATGTTGTAACTTTTTATCTCATCCCCCATGTCTCCTAATCTGGTTCGTAGTTTCCATCTTTTTATATTTTTTTTAATTTTATTTTCTGCTCTTTTTGTTTTCGAATCTGCTACTTAACATGTCCATTGAATTTTCTATGTCCATTTTGTATCATTTCAGTGACTTTATTTTTTCATTTCTAGAGTTGGATATGCTTTTTCAAATTTTCCTATTCTTTTAGTCCTAATTTTTTAATTTTTCATTGTTTTTCCTAATCATTCTTTTCTCTCTATAATAATTTTGATCATGTTTATTGCTCTTTCCTATTGTTATATTACCTGAAATTCTCGGATGCTCATTCTTCTACTTGTCCATTTGCTTCCTCTACCACATGGTGGTTTCTTTCCTTACGTAGCTGATCATTTTAACTGGAAGTTTATCTTCAGCAGGCTTTGTATTTTTTTCTAGTGAGAGTCCCTGGTTCTGGTTAGAGAGAGTCTCTACAGAGAAGTTTTAAATTAGCTTTTGCTGTGCCCTAGTTGTTTCAATGGCTTTCAACCAATTTTACATCATTATCTCAGGCAAGGGAACCTCTCTTAGGCTCACAATCTCAATTTTTATCTTATATCCTTGCATGGCACAGGACTTAGGTTTGATGTTTCAGGTACTGTGTCTGTTTTTCATCCAAAACTTGGGTAGAGGCAAACTTTCTTTAAATCCCCCTTTAATCAGTGAGGCAGTTCTTAAGGCTTTTGGTGGTACTTGGAATAGACTTCTAAATTCACCACATTCCATAGGCAGAAACCCCATCTTTGTCCCCATGAGGACACAAGAACTCAGCAGGACTGCACCTCTGTAGGTTACTTGACATCTGCTGATACTATTGCAAGGGTTTCCATTTTCTTTTCAGTATTGGGACTGGTGTTCTCCTTGACAGTCTTACAAGTCTGACTGTGTATTAAAATTTTTGTTTTGTGGTATTTTATCCAGAATTTCTGTGTGTTTATAGCTCCCGTCTCTATCAATATGGATCACACATTGTTGGAAGTTCTTTTATTATTATTCCCTTAATTTGCTGAGTCCTACATAGGCTTTGGCAACATGAGGGGATATTCATCATACAAGGAAATTTTAAATCAATGTGAAAAATAAGATAATCTGTTATAAACTGAATACATGAATGCTGAGGTACATAGAGAGTCAGTATAGTAGCTTTACTGAGCTGTAATTCACTACCATACAGCTAGTTCATTTAAGGTGTACAACTCAATGGTTTTTATACTCTCAGAGGTGAACAACTATCATCACAGTTTTAGAACATTTTAATCCCCCTCAAAAGAAACCCCAGTAGCAGTCACTCCCCATTTTCCCCAACCCCGTTAGCCCTAAGTGACCACTAGTATATTTGCTGTCTCTATTGATATTTCTATTCTAGAAATTTCATATAAATGAAATCACATGAAAATCAAAAGACCTCAGTATATGGCTTCTTTCACATAACATAATGTTTTCAAGGTTAATCCATGTTGTATCATATATCAGTGCTTCATTCATTTTCATGGCCTAATAATATTCCATTGTATGGCTATACTACATTTCATTTATCCATTCATCCATTGATGGACATTTGTGTTGTTTCCACTTTTAGGCTATTATGAATAATGCTCATCTGAACTCTGTGTACAAGTTTTTGTGTTGCATGTGTTTTCATTTCTCTTGAGTATACACTAGCAGTAGAATTTCTGGGCCATATGGTAACTCTGCTTAACAATTTGAGGAACTGCCAGACTGTTTTCCAAAGTGGTTGCAGCATTTTACATTTCTCTCAGCAGTGTATGAGGGTTCTGATTTCTCCACATTCTGACCAACACTTGTTAGTTGCATTTTTGATTATAGCCATTTTTGTGAGCATACAATGGTACATCACTGTAGTTTTGATTTGCAGTTTCCTGGTAGGTAATGATGCTGAACATCTTCTTATGTTTCTTGGCCATTTGTACATCTTCTTTGGAGACATATCTATTCAGAGCCTTTGCCCATTTTTCATTGGCTTATTTGTCTTTTTATTATTGAGTTATAAAAGCTCTTTGTATATCCAAGGTACAAGTCCTTTATCAGACATATAATTTCTAAACATTTTCTTCCACTCTGTGCAGCATTTTCTTTTAATTGAAAGCCTCCAAGCTACAAAGAAAAGTCACCTGAGATATAAGCAGATCTCAAGTTTTAAAGTAGAGAATATAAAGCCTTCTATTCACACACTTCAGACAGAGTAGGAAACATGATGTTTCCATAAAGACAAAATACAGTACAATTTAAAATAGGGCCAGTTGTGGAGGTAGATGGAGAAACAAAAGGAGATAGGTGAAGGAGCTGGAGAAAGGTAAATACACAGAATTACCTTACTGCTGAGGCTGTGCATTGCATTATTATATTATGCTGGGTGGAAGCCAGGAAACCCAGGCAAAGGCAAGAGTGCAAAAGATGGTCTGAGAGAGTCAAGGTACATCTCGGTTTACACGCTGTTGGAGAGGCAAGAGGCTGGCTCAAGGAGGCCATCTACAGGGGAAGTGATATTCAGAATAAGAATATATTCAGAAAAATTAACCAATAATCTTCCCCACTCCCTGAAGCATTTAATTACCACCTTAGCTCTTCTTCACATTCAAATAATCAGGCATCTGATGTTTATAGCTCAGAAAAGGGATGCTTCCACAAATACCAGAGTGAAAAAAAGAGATTTCTTCTTGGCTTTTGAGTGTTGACTTAAGTTGACAAGGATAAAATATCTTGGAAAGTAGGAGCTCAATTCTCAACCCCCTAGAGTAGAAATGGATTTCTGATGCTGGGAGGGTTTAGAGGAAGTGATGAGAGTTAATATGTTAGTAAGTCTCTGAGGAAGGGTCTCTGAATCCTACTCTATGTGGTGAGCCCTGGGATGGCTGTAGCAAATCACTTTAGGTTTGTGGGATTAGTTAAAAAAAAAACCCGCAAAACCTGTGCCCCATCTCCTGATTAGAGCTTAGAGCCACAAGACCCTGGTAAATACACGCCAGAATGGTGTGTCTGGGCAGGCATACGACCTTGGGGCATTAGAGAGAGACTTGACCACGTTTTAGAAGCAAAGAAACAGAAATTGCTGTATGAAGTGTTTAGATGAGTAGGGCTTTAGCTTCACAATTTTCTGCAACCTAATGTAGTGTTAAGAGAAGCGCGGAGGTAAGGAAGGAAACCAATGTGGGAATCAGGCTCAAACAGGCTGAGACCTGCTTAGACTGACAATCAAGTATTTTATGGTTTCTGAACCGAACATGAATATGACAAGCTTAGGCAATTAAAAAAAAAAAAGTCCTAGGCAGGTGGGGGAGTGGGGACAGGAAGAGTATTATTCTCTTTTTATAGCAAGTAGTCAATACTATAGCTTAAAATGGATTTCAGTCTCAGTGCTTTTCTCTCTTCTTAAACTTAGCCGTCTGTGTTCACTGCTGTATTCTTGGCATCTAGAACAGAGTCTGGCCCAACAAATACTTTGGAATGAACAAATTCATACAATTTCTGCCTCTTAGAGTTTTCATCCTCCTTTTCTTTTGTTTTTAAATGAGCGTCACAGGTTTGATTCCCTGGAAAGCAGAGTCTAAGATGGAGTTTCGTGTGCTTAAAGTTTATCAGGGAGCGTCTTTATTATTCACACCTGTTGAAGGAAGACAACAGACAGTTTTGGGCAGGGGTAGAAGCTGAGCTGTAATGCAGGTCAAGGACCACCTCCTCACAGACTCTGAAGTGAGGCAACCCTTCAGAGTTAACCCTAGTTGAGCCAAGATGGCTAGGCTTTCGTATTTCTGCATCAATTAGTCGTTGATGTGGGCTGTCACGGGAAGGGGCGTGGCCTCGGGTCAGGTGATCTTCTGCAATAAAGCAGTCCGGACAGGCGAGCAGCGAGATGAAGGCTGCTGGTAGTGCTCTCCTCGTCTGGGGCCAGAAGTCCTTCACAGTCGGGGGATCTTGGCAGCGTACCACCATGTCTACTTCATAAGGTAACTGCGTTTTAGAGACGTTAAGTCGTTTGTCCAAGGTCATACACCTGGAACCTGAACTTAGTTTTGTCTGACCCCAAAATCCATGGTCTTAATATTTTTTCTTCTATTATACATTATTGATGTAAGCTTACTCCTAAATTGGTGAAGGTGGGGATGGAGTTAGGAGGATTTGTTGTCAGGCTTCTAGACTGATACAAAGTGCAGGTCAGGGTGAAGGTCCTGACCCAGGCCTTTAAGAAATGCCCAGTTTCTTCTCTGCTCAGCCAGAAACCTGCAGTGACAGTGCTTTGTACTGAAGGATATGATTCACTGATAACTGCTACCGTTTGAAATTGCTGCACAGCTACCTTTTCACTAAGGTGGAAGTTTCTAAAATATTATACAGTCAGATAAAACTAAGTTCAGCTTGCATGGTAGAGTGTATTAAAGTACTTCAAATTGTGGCAAAATACTGAGTAGGTCATGGTTTTCAATGCGTTGGTACCAATCAATGGTATCAAGATCACCTGGGCACTTGTAGCAGCTGAATTTCTCGGGCCTACCTTAGACCTGCTGAGTCAGAAACAGTGCTGGTAGGATTCAGGTGATTCTAATGCATGCTGGAGTTTGAGAACTACTGGGCTAGATGATTGTGTTAGTAGAAAAAACAAACTGGACTGTATATAAATGATTCCTTTTAAAATGGTTTGACTATTTCCTCTGTTCGCTGGATTTGCTTTACATGTTGGACCTCAGTGCTTCCAAAAGATCACAGCTTCCTAATAGGTGAGGTCTGAATTCATGAACGTTAAAGATTACCACCTTGAGGGCTAACACGTAGGCAAGCTGAGTGTAGCAGTGCATAGCGTCCCACTGATAACGGCTTTCCTATTTACCCCTCCCTCCTGGGGTGTTAATAGGATCCA